TCCCCCCCCCCCCCATAATTAAGAAGTTTGATCAAGTTTTTAGAAGAAAAAAGTGTTTGTGAGTATGAAAAATAATACATGTATGAGCTTTGGTATTATCAATCTATTGTTTGGTACTCTTTTCGGTCCACTTTATTTGATTTTTTGGCTATTTTTAATATATATTAATGAATCCATATTTTAATATTAATTAATAATGAAATTGACCATACTAATCTTAATTTGTTCATTGAAAACATTACAGATACTTCTACACTCTTTACTCCAAGGGCAACTTTGGAAAAAAGAAATTAGTTCCTTCTTGATATTTGAAAAAATAAATATTATGGACCACAAAAAAAATGTCAAACAATCAAATTAAAGTATAGCGGAGAGAGAGTATTTTTCAACTTATGTATGACTAATACTTATACTCCCTTCTGTCCACAATAAGTGACTAATTTGCCTTTTTATTTTGGTCCAAAATAAGTGTCCATTTATATAATCAAGAAATAATTCAATTTGTTTTTACAAAATTACCCCTATGTACATATCCCTAAAAAAATTCTTACTCCTCACATAAAATATTTAATTAAGGGTAGTTTAGTCATACTAGGTATTTTTGTATAGAATTTAGTATTTTCTTAATAGGTGTACCAAAAGCAAATTGTCACTTATTGTGGGCCTGAGGGAGTATTAGTTACTATATATCATACTCAGTACTATTCTTACATACTAGCAAACTATGACATTAACAATTCATGATTTTTAATACATGGATAAGCATATATAAAGACAAAATCGTTCTTTCAATAATACATGGATAACCATTTGAAGGGTATTTTTGTGAACAAATAATTCTTATAAAAATTATGAAGTACATGCTATTTGTAACACACCAAATCGACAAGAAATAATCTTAATATAACTAATTTTAATGTTATTAATCTCAGCATTACTAATATATTTTATTTAATATTATTTTTATACGTCCTACAAAACGTACTATTTTCTAATGCATTTTACCACACAACTCGAAAAGTTTAAGAATGGTTAATGAATATGCACGAAGCACAAAGCTTTTCATTGTGACGCGTGTGGGGTTAAAAAGTATATTTTCAAACTTTTGAAACTTTCTTTAAATTCATGTTTTTGCATTTTAATTCTCAAAAGTAACAACTTTGTATTATACTATGATCCATGGGGATATACACTGTCTCAGTAAAGACCAAACAAATTGGAGAAAAAAAGTGTAGATAAATTCTCCAATTCCATAAAGCAAAAGGAGTAAAGCTGAATTTACTCCCTTACCTCCTCTCTGTCCCTCTTGTCTGCTATTCACATTTTTTATATCTGGGCTTTGGCTTCTTTCTCTGTTTCTCAGCTTTTGTTTCTATTCACCTCTCATGATTTTTCGAAAATCAATTTGATTTATCTTTAAAATTAAATTGGATTAAATTGTTTAGTATTTTAAATTAAAATTTGGATGTTCAAAACTATATGAAACATACTATACTTTCCAATTCTTCACACATTAATATGATAAAAAAATAGATATTAAAATGCTAGTCAAAGCTTTATATAGTTTGATTCTCAAGAAGCGAAATGCAAGACAAAATAGCACGAGCTAATCAGCTTTCGGACTGATAATTGAAAAATAGCCAGTATTTGTAAAATTATTGAAAAATAGCCACTATTTTACTGCAACACGGAAAGTTCCAACTTAATATACTGGAGATTGGAGCACTTGTGTATGACCTTCCAGCATATTATGTCGGAACTCCAGCACACGGAAAGTTCAAGCATAATGTACTGGAGATTGGAGCATATGTGTATGAACTTCCTGCATATTATGTTGGAACTCCAGCACACGAAAAGTTCCAGCATAATATACTGGAGATTGGAGCACCTATGTATGGACTTCCAACATATTATGTTGAAACTCTAGCACATTATAAATTTCCAACATGTTATACTGGAAAGTTCACATATAAAAAATTCGAACTCCTCACTATCTATATTCTCTTTCTTTTAAAACCCCACAAGGCACCAACAACAAAGACTCAATATGTAAAAGCCAATCAATTTTAGGGTCCCCTAAAAGATCCTCTCATTCCTCTATATTAATAAAATCTAGTTGTCCCATAACTATTTTTTGTACAATTTTGTGTTACAGGTAAAGAAAGTGACAAAATGCACATTAAGTTAAAACAAAATAAAAAATAAAAGTATGCTACCACCCAAGCGTGTTGTAATAAGGGGAGATTTGCAAAAATAGGGTTATTTAATGGTACCGTTTAAATTTTTACCTTTATTAAAAAAAGTTTTAAGAAAATAGCTTCCGCATCAGAATTTTGAATAGCCTGTTTAGACGAAAATTTGTATTATTATTTTATATAGTAGTATAAAATATGATTTTTGTTATGAGGTTAAAAAGTCTATCTCAACTTTGAAACTTTACCTTAAATTGGTGTCATTTACTCTTCGGGTCCACTTTAAGTGATTTTTTGGCTTCTTTTTATGGTTCATAATATTTAGGACCCCGTTTGATTATAGATTTTGCCAAATATTTTTTGGCAAATACATGTTTGTTCATAAATTTTATCCATATTTTGGCAAATTCCCAAATCCCAAAACCCAAATTTCTGGCCCAAAATATCACTATTAAATTTTTTTAAAATTTCACCAAACTTTTATATTTTATAAAAAAGCCCACCATTTATTATTTGTAATGATGTTGTTTCGTCTTCTCAGTCATCTGATAGCGTATTATGTAGTTCATTATAAAAATAATAATTTTGTGCCAAATTTATTTATGTTCAGGATTATGGTTTGTAATAATGCTAATGAATGTTATTGCTGAATGTACTCTTAGCTATTTGTGATAGTTTTTAGAACTTGTGGATATAAGTATATTTTATGGGTTTTTTAAAGTAAAATATGTTTTGAAAATTGATATCCAAACACAAATTTTTATCTTCAAATCAAACTTCACTCAAATCAGATTTTTCAAAATAAATTTAAAAATATATGACCAAACACTAGCTTAATTTTTTCCGGATATCAAGATAGAATTAATTTTTTCTTTCCAAAGTTGTCCTTGGAGTAAAGAGCTTAGGAATAGTTTGTTATATTTTCAATGAGCTAATTAAAGTTAATATGATCAATTTCATTATTAATTAACACTAAAAGGTGAATTTTTTAATACGTTAAAAAAACACTTAAAATGAATCGGAGAGAGTATTGATTTGAATTTTCACTGTGAGAAAGCAACAATAGTATATTACACTGTAAATGATAGTACCTCAGTATATACAGTGTCTCAACAAAGACCAAACAAATTGGAGAAAAAATATACTGTAAATAAATTCTCTCAATCCGTAAAGCAAAAAGAGTAAAAGCTGAATTTACTCTCTCTGTCCCTCTTGTCTGCTTCTCACATTCTTTCTCTGTTTCTCACCTTTTTTCTACAGTATAGTATCTCTTTGAATTTTCATTTTCTCACTGTCCTCTGTTCTCTCTCTTTTTTTCTTTTTTTTTTTACCTTTAAAAACCCATCAACAACATAAGGAAAACTCATTTCAGGTTCCTTTAAAAAAATCCTCCCATTCCCTCTTCATATTTATAAAAAGAGTCAACTTTGATCAATATCAAATATTCTACTGGTTTCTTTGCTATAGCACCAAAATGGATGTAAGTAACTCGTAATATCTTCTTTAATTTCCCTTTTGTTTATTTGTTAGATTATTCCAGGATATGAGATGTTGTCACCTTATATCATTTTAAGGACCCGTTTGTCTATTAAAATATTTTCCTTTTTTCGATTTTTTTTCTTCAAAAATATTTTTGTCCATAAAATTTTATAAGTTTTTAGAAATTTTTCGAAAATGAGTTTTTCAAAAGCAAAAAAATAATTTTGACCACTTTTTAAAATTTTTTAAAAGAAAATTCCTCACTCACAAAACAACAATATTTTTTTCGAGTGAAATGCTTATCCAAGCATAATTTCAAATAAGATTGACTTACCCAAAAGTCTATTTTTCATATGATATCAGAGTCCGACTCATCCATATTGTTATGTTTTCAATGTTGGACTATGTGTTATGATATACATAGTCCAATTTATAACCTAATAGTTTGGCCAAATATCCATTTTTTATTGTATTGTTGGAAAGTTATCTTTTTGAACAAGAGTTTATCAATGTTGATTTTCATTTTTTATTTTTGGTTCAAAACAGGAGAGTAACTATTACTTTAGGAGGAGCCATGTTCCAGCATTTGGTAGCTGGGATTGTAACAATAATGAAATTCCAATTCCTTTTACAGAGTGTTTTGAATCAGCAAGGCAAGCTGGTTTGTTTCACTACAGCTATTCTCATGACTCTGATTTGTATGTCACTGGTGATCTTTACCAGAATGATATTGTTACACCTACCATGATCGTTGTTCCTCGTCGTAAGGTAATATTTTTTTTACCTAGCTATACAGTATAATTTTTCCGCAAAAAAAATATTTATTGACAAAGGTGGCTCTTCAATTTATGAACATTAGCCTCTTAGCTCTCTATTATAACCAATGGCATAGCCATCTTTGTCCAAGAGATTGATACCCTTTATCAGAAAATGATGTGTAGCTAGATAGATTTTTTTGTTGTTATATATATACACACACATATATAAGCAGAGGGGAGCTAGGTTTTTCATTAAAGGGAGTCAAAATATAAAGAAATAAACTCACCAAGAAGTCGAGGTACACCCCTTGGGTGCATGTGGCTCCTCCACTGAGCAAAGGTAGAGCCACCTAACCCTGGAAAATTACACTGCGTAGCTAGGTAATTTTTTTAAAACTAAAATAAAAATTATATATATATGTTGAATCCTCTTAATTATTTGTGTATTTTTTTAAAATATTTTGACAGCCATTAGTAAAAAATCTCACTTCGTCACTGATCCCTTGGCTTTTATGTGGTTGCTTCTTTGAATATGCGCCACTTGTTATATCCATCGAAGAATAAAAAGGGAAAATGACATTGTATATTCGCTCTCAAAATAATAGCCGAAAAGGTGTGTGTGTATATATATATATATATATATAAACATTTTGTATATTATATACAAAAATTATATAAATTTTATACACTTTTTCGAATACTAAATATAAATGCGTGCTTAAAGTGATAATACCCTTCTAAATTAGTTGAACAAGCTTAGGTTACTATTGGATGTGATTTTCTCCTTTGTTTTTATAGTATATGAAGTGCAGAAGTTAATTGTAAAAGTGTGATTGGCAGAAAAAAGCAAGTTACAAAGAAGCAAGAAAAGAAGCATGGGTGATGTGTGATTTTGAGAAAGAACCACCCAGCCCTCTTCCTATATCTCCTCCAACTACTATAAGTGTGCCCAAAAAGCCTATTGATGAAGATCTCTACAAGATTTCCCCCGAGTTGCTCTATGCTAAGCCTACAAGGGTAGGTCCTTCTAACTTCTCCTATCTTTAGGCAGATTCAGGATTTTAATATAATAAGCTAAGTGTGTTTTGTCGAACCTGTTGTAACTTAGTTACTGACTTCTGTTGAACTCGTAACTTTTACTGTGGCTCCGGCCCTACTTCTATCCTTACCACAATCACTACTATCGGCGACCTAGACCTTGGTCGAGGCCGCTAGTAGTGATAGCTGATGAGTTGTAAATGGGTTTGAACAAAAATTTGTCACAACTCGATCCGCCTATATTTCTTGCAAAACAAAAACTAGTAGTTGCCTCTACCTTCCACTCTCTTCTATAGTGGCGAATTTAGGGTTTAAATTTAATGGGCTCAACTTTTAAGATTTTAGCGATGAAACATTTTACTGTTAAAATTATGGGTTCAAATGTAATACTTGTTGGGATTTTAGTAGATTTCTACATATATATTCATAATCTGTGTCATTAGTTGTGAGTTCAATTGAACCCGTAGCATAAAGGCTACAACCACTCTGCTCTCCTAGTTCTTCCTCCCATTCATGTTACCAGAAATGAAGGGACTTTTTGTGGGCCAAAAACTGAAAGGGATAGCCCTTCTTATGTGGTGTCAAACCATCTGATGAATAGTTCTGAAGTGACATTGCTTAAAGTGGTAATCTTTTTGACAGAGAAAAAGCAAAGAGAAGAGTGATTGATGAGTTCTAACGAAAATGGTACTATTAAAGATGATTACTTTTTGGTTTATTTAATTTTTATGCACTACATGTTAAAGTTTAATTAACAAGACAATCTCATTTATATAGAAAAAAGATTTTTTGAAAACTCCTTTTCCTGAGATTACAATATGCAACCTTATTGAAGTGTCAATACTTTTTCCTTGTGCTAAAACTTTTCCTTTGATTTATTTAAATTCTTTTCAGAAGGGCGTCCGGGCTATCATCTCGAGCTGTTTGCGGCCTTCTTGTGCTTGTTGAACATGGTGCAAGCAAAAGAAGAGAAAATCCAGAAAGTATAGAACTAGTAGTTTGTCTGCATGGTGATTTTGTCTATATTTATAGTTATGTTTGGAGTCTTTTGTTGGGTTTAAACCAGTAAAAAATGGCCCAAAAAAGAAGAAAGAATCTTCTCCTTTCTTCTCTACATTGCTAAACGTATGTTTCTTCTTGGAAGTATTTTGATGTCCTAGTACTATGTAGTGTTTAAGGGGAGCTTTAGAGCACCGGTAGAGTTGTTTTCATGTGATTTATAGATTACGGGTTTGAGCCGTAGAATTAGCTATTAATGCTTGCATCAGACCCTTACATGGCCCTTCCTTGAATCCTGTATAAACACATAATTTTTCGTGCACCGTGGAACCCTTTAGTACTATACTAGGGTTGGCTTTTATAATTTAAAAAATCTTGAGGTACTGTGTGGGAAATTGGCATTACAAGGATATATTAATGTATGAGAAAAAAGAGAAATCTCTCCCTCGTGTCTTTATTTATGGTGCCCTGTGCATTTTCAGTTTTCGAATCTTCTTTTGTAAGATCGTTTTACTCTGGCGTTTTATTAATTATCAATTAAAGTGTCAATTAGCTAACTGAACCAAATTTTGGAGGTATCTAACATTCATTTGTTAATGCTTAAAGAAAATATTTCCCGTTTGTGTTCCGAAGAAAAGAACATGCTACACTGATTGTGTATTTTAACTTAAATCCATATATAAAACCATAAAACTTCGATTCAGACTAATCATCATGTCTAAACTAAAAGTGGGTTTATGGTCTTATTGGAAACATCTTTATACTTGCCTTGTCTTTCCCCATGGAGGCTTTTCTCTTTTTCTTTCTTTTGATCATAATAGGAAAACTAACCTACATTGTAAGAAAGGATCAATAACTCCACTACTTTTTGCTTTTGCCCGTCTATATGGATTAACACTGAAACAAAAGGTTGATTAAAAGGCTGTAATGAGTGATTCATCAAAAGAAGCAACAAAAACAACTTTAGTTGACTAAAGAGGAAGTAAAGATATAAATCAAAGAGACTATTTCACACTAGTAAAGCGACAAATGGTCTAAGAATATCCCATCTCGTCAGACAATACCCAAATAATTGTACAATGCCTCTCTTTGTCAATGCAACGAACATTTCATTCAGAAAAAGACATAAAGTAGCTCTCTAGGTCCGAACTATTAGTTAAAAACCTATTTTGAAAAGGATCTTATGTTTTGTGCTTAATACATCTTCTTGGAAATATTAACTGCGGCTAAAACTGGAGATTCTGGAAATGGTACAGCGCATTAGAATACCAATCCCTTTTCGAACACATTTTCATGACGTGCATACAAGATAACTAGTGCAGGTTACGTATTTAGTAATTGTACCATATGAATCATGAGGCTAAAGTCCCATCACAATGCTGAAAAATGTTGGACTGAAGGCAGGAAAGAAGAAACAGGGCTACATACATGCTCAAATATATCAAAAATGAAGAAACCGACTACGTACAAAGCACAATATACAAGGAAAAGCAACTATGACGATTGCAAAGCCCCAACACTTGCAGCAAATTCCATGACCTTGTTTCTTAAGCGCTCAGGGTAGCAGAAGAAATCAACAAAAACTCGCCTCTCGATTGTCTTCTCTGCTTTTTGATGTCTGTAAATCTGTTTTATGACGAGGTTATCATTTATTAGTTTTCATCTTCAAGAAATATAGAGCATAAAAAAGAGTGATCACGTGCTTTTTCTTAAGATATCAAATACACAGGAACCATCTGATAAATAAAACAGCACCAGAAATTAGCGATGGTGTCTATTTAGAGACAGAAATAAGAAGACTCAAGCTAAAAGCTTACCTCATTCTTCTTCAGATGTTCACTGGTCACATCTTCAATGGCACGAGAAAGATTTTTATTGTAGTCTTCCAATGTTGCTAGCTGCTTCATTAGTGTCTATAGAGGGAAGGACATAAATGAGAAGTAAGAGTAAAAATCTTCAGAGTTGAACAGAATAAGGAACTGATGCGCTCAGCAAGTAACCATTCAATATTATGCGCAAAAATAATAATAATAATAATAAAAATTTATAAGTCTAATTTCAGAACCTCCTAACTTTATGAGATATAAGTGGAGGTCCATCTTATATGACTATTCATATGACTTAAAAGAGTGAGGTAAGCTATGCAATCAAGAACATATTTCTTTTCAAGAAGCAAAAGATAGTGGTATATCAGAGCCCACAAAAGAAAAAGAGTGCTCAATTATAACACATACATTATGGAGAGCAGAGTGAAAAAACTTCATTAAATAAATAGATACTCCTATTCAATAGCAAGATATATTGTTCTCCATGTATTAGTCCAAGTTGAAGAATCTAAAAGTCCACTTTGGATACAGTGATTAGTTAANGCATCGATATCGGATCCTCCAAAAATATATAAATTCTATTTGGAGGATCCAATATTAATACACACCCGATATTTTGAAGGATCCGAGCTACATAAGTTATAATGATACTACTATGTGATTAAAGTTGTGATAAGATTCAAAAGCGAGTTAACTAAGAGCAAGTATTGCTACTACTATGGAATATATTATCCTTGAATTAAAAAATATCTTGATAGCGAGTGTTTTACCTCGCGATTTCGAATTAATCAGACCAGCGCGTACGGCCTGGGCCTTGAAATTTAAGAAAAGCAAACTTTCCAGAATGAACCTCTTAGTTGCTTAAGGTCCACGGTCTCAATTAAGAGAGAAATTCATGATAAGGTCTTTTATGAATTTACACCATTTTATTTGGAGCAGAAGATGTACTATCAGAATTCTCTATAAAAGTATCTCTATATAATAGTTCTTAACTATAAAAATTAAGTTTTATCGGAACCGATTTTTATATTATGTTATAATATATTTCCTTTATAACAGCACTTCACTATAACATTTAAAAATTATCAAAATAAACGAGGTTGTTATAGAGAAATTTGACTGTACGTTATATATAAGTTCCTTATTCATTTACCAAACCAGATAAACTTAAACATGGTATAGTTTTGCATTTTACAAAACTAGCAATAAATAAACTGGCAGTTTGAGAGAGAGAGAGATCATATTTACATACAGCAAAGGCATAACGGCAAAAAATCTACCTGAGGAGTTAAAATTGGTTGAGCAGTTGTTGATGAAGCAAACAATAGCTGCTGCAAACTTTGAAGAAGAGTGCACCTAATATATGACGTATAAGAAGGATATAAGATGCTTTGACACTATGACATGTTTATGTATCAAATCACCATTAATATCAATTAGATTACTGAAATGTCATTATGAAGGTGCAGAACTCCTTGCTGAATGTAAAAGCTAAGGAAAATTCAGATAACAAACTTCTTTGAAATATTAATTAGACAGGAAGACGTCAAACCACAAAAATAGATCGTGAGTTGCAGGTTCAAGCATCAATTGAACACTAAAAAGGTGAAAGAAATATGGTTTATGCAAAACGGAATGATTCTTGGCCACCCATACTACATGGTGACCTTAAAGCAATTTCTTAAGAGATTCGAGTAGACAACCAACACAAAAGATTTCAACAGACTTCTTAAACATTATTGGTCCAAAACTCCCATCTTCCATGAACAATCACTGCAAACACAACCTCACGGATCTTTCCAAACATTCACAACCAGTATCCTAAGAAACTCAAATATGTTGACTAGATCCTAGTTACATGTCCTTGTAACTCCAGCAAGTCATCACTTGTAAATGAAGACGTGCCTGACGACTGGTCAGAAAATCAGAAAGAGACGCTACATAACTTGACAATTTTGCTAGTGTGTGCGCAAATACCTTATACAATTATAATGAGCTAGAAACAGATTGATAGGCATACAGAAATAGTATTTGACGGATTTATTTTTCCCTGACAGCACTGATTTATCAGGATTACACATGGTTGATAATTTGGTGTTGGCTTAGGATAAAAACTAGAATAAAGCGGATAACAATGTGTTGGCAGTGCCACATTGGGCCATGTAAGAGCATATTGTGCACTAAATCTAATTCTAATGTTTCAAAGCTGTCCCCAATATGATTAATATTGTCAAAATAACAGAAGAGAAGCAATAGAGACTGGTATAACTCGACAGAATTGAGAACTTACAGTTTGTTTATACATGTATCTCTATCCTGAGGAAGGGTGTGTTCAAGGTCATATTGTAAAGACATCAGATCTGAACGAAGGCTTGATATCTGTTGAACAATGCCAGGTGCCGATACATATGTTGATGGACCAGCTTGAATATCTGGAAAAAATCAATTAGTATGAACAACCAAAAAAAACTTAGTAATATTTCAAAGTCCAGATCCGTTACTTGAATATAAACTTAATAGGTCTCTGATGCCATGAAGAAATGTGTCACGATCATCCACTGCTCCTTGTTCTTGAACATCAGATGCAGCTTGAATCAGTGCCATGCATCGACCCTAAAATAAAAAAGTTGCATGAGTGGACAACTATGAAATCAAACATGAATATGGTACTCCTATGTCCAAATTAAAATGAAAATTTTCTTTTATGAGGCATCAAAGGTATAACCATCTTGTGTCCATATTTCAATCGGCGTCCTACATTGCCCTCGCCCCTCTTAAACATGCATCAACCAATAACACCACCTCCCAAATTCTAGTTTCTTACCCTCGATCCCAAATTAATTGGAGTCATCTATATGAATCCGTTGTATCCACTCAATTCTATTCAGCTACATTTTATGTGCTTCATAAAATTCAGATTTTAAGTTCCACGCGAACATGGCATTTTTGTTGTAAGAATTTTATATTCAATGTTCCAGCTTTATCCCTTTTAAGTTTTATCCTTCAATTTAAAAGAATCAAAGAAAATTATGAAAGTCAAAATTCATTTGGCTGGCTTAGGGACGTTAAGTATTGAAAGTTGAATAAGGCTTAAAATATGGGAGAAGGGAAGAACAAAATCAAACTGGTGAAGGTTCTTCAGGTTCAATTCAAGTCTTGTGACATGACTCATTCTACACATACATACCACTCTGCCTTTTGTTGCTGACAGGTATCCATGCAGCTCAGACTCCATAACTTTAAGCAATGAAAATGCCCCAAGCATGGTCTTCTTTTCCAACTGACATGCTACTTTCAGGAATTGATGCCTTGCAACATGATTAATCAGATGATTTATGAACTGCAAAGAAACCATAATTAAGTAAGAAGTACAAGAATTTCTAAGCATCAAAGTACTAAATTAGATACCCAGAGGTAGCTAAAAATTGGAACCCAGAATAAAATGATATTAGAAATGTTGCATGACAAAATAGCAAAAGCGAGCCATTAATATTTGCTCCTTATGATGGTTGTTAGTTGAAGAAATAAAGAAAATAACGGTATAGAAACACATCACTCTGTCTTACACATACCGCTTTTTGCCGATTAATGTAGAATTCTTGGCGCATGACCTTTAGATCATAATCCCCTACACATTCCAAAAAATATAGCATCCATCAGAAAAATATATGCTAACAAAAATTTAAGATCACAATGTCAGACGACAATATTATTACCTTCCAAGATGTATGTGTCTTGTAGTTGAGCCAGCTCCCAACAAAGATCAGGAATAGTCTAAAAGAAGAATTGCAGTAGGTAATATGCCCAACTATAACATCAAAAGCTAAAGACATCAGGGGATTCTTGAAGAGGTTGTGATGAAATTTAGAATATGTTTGTTCATTATATATCGATCACTCGAGCTGATATTGAAGCAATCATCTAATCAACAATCTGATAACGCTATCTGACAACTTCTCTTGTTTCATGACTATATAAATTATGTAATAAATAGCTGAACTATGACCAGACAAGATAATCCATGGGTGCTAGACAAACCTCTGATAATAACTTCTCTTCTTTGCGATATAAAATTGAAATTTCTCCAACCAGTTCAGCATGTTTTCTCCTGCACAGAGATAAAGAATTCTATGATAAAGTAGCCCACAAGCAAGGATATAACATTCAGTGAAAGGAAAATTAGGATGTCCATTTTCAGAACTAATATGTTTACTAAAAGGCAGAGAATCACTGAATAAAGATAGAGACCAACAACTACAAAGTTTGCCAACAGGTCGTAGATAAATAAAACTATTTGGGGATGTCACAAAATGAAAAGGAGCTAGCTTTCAACGCAGATTTTCAACATTGCAGTTTTTTCTGTTAATCTATTCCTCGTTATTATGATTTCCTTTTCCTCGTTAACCAAAAAGCTGTCGTACCTGTGGCGGATCCTCCAAAATGCACTACTTTTGGAGGATCCGACACACACCGGGCAACATTTTCGGAGAGTATGAGCAACATAGCTCGTTATTATGATTTTCTTTGGTTCGTTGAATTATCACTGCAAGAGGTCTCCCACTCTCTCCCTGCAGGTAGAAGCTAGTATTCTACAGTGGGAACGTGATAGTTAATGCACAGAAAAACAAAATGCCATGCCATGACAGAACAGACCTCAAAATATTATTTGGGATTGTGCAAGCGACGTAAAATAAGTAAATAGTGAAGCGTGCAACATAAAAAAGTAAATAAATTAAGCAAGCAAGATCTGCAGAACAAAATGGAGATTCTTAACCCTATAGTACACTTAATTTCCAGTTTCAATTTTTTAAAGATTTCTTTTCTTTTTTGTGGGGTGTTCT